TTTATCTATTCCAAAATGATCCAAAAAGGGTTTGCCGCTGCTGTCGGCCAAATAGAATTTAAAACACCAACCCCCCCTGCCTTCCAATTTCTTGACATAGCGAGCATTTTGCAAGAGCCGCTCTTGGACCATCATCTCCGCGTCATTGTTCGCTGCTTCTAAAGTCTCCCTGAGGAACACAGCCGTGATGATTCTGATCACCTGAGTCAAAGCTACCCCACTTCCTTTGTGGCATGTAAACCGCAGCGGTTTCTTACCTTAACTGCAATTTTGCTTAGTTTTTGAGACAGCGCTGTTTAACGGCAACGCACGGCAACAAACACAGGAACAAACGCAGATCCAACACCACAAGTCTTTAAGGCAACAAGGTCTGAAACCGGGTCTGCCATGACATTTTTCTCTTCCATTCGATTGGTTACCTGTTAAATTAAATTCTCATTGCAAGCTACACAGGCTTCCATTTCACAGAATCTGTTGTCCAGGGTGCTGTCCGATTTATCTCCCTGTGTGCCTCCTTGCATGGTCTGCTAGAGAGTGCTGGCCCCAAGTCCGACAGGGTGGTGCCCAGCTTGTCTCCCACCTTCTCTCCTTGCAAGGTCTCCTAGCATGAAGTTGCTGCTTCTAGTTTGTGTCCCAGCTTGTCTCCCCGCGTGCTTTCCCACAATGGGCCTCAAAGTCGGACATGGGTTTTGTTCTCATCATTCTCATTTTGGATCATTTCGGTTTGTCAGCTTGCATCATTGCTATTGAAACGCACGGGGCGCTCCATGCCCCCAAAATTCTTGCAATGAGTTCTTAGCTCTCATAGATCTCAATAAAAGCAGTGCCCCAAACTGTGTTGGCATGGTCACCAAGTCAATGAGGTTGCCATTTGGTAATGTCCAGTTTGTTGCCCAGCGTGTCTCGCAGCGTGCCTCCCAAGTTAAAGTTGGGGTTGGTGCTGCGTTTGTTTCCAAATTTTGGTCACGGTATGTCACGGTGGTCCGAAGTTTCCGGTGTGTGGTCTTGTCACGTCACCTGCGCTGTCTCCCATTCTATCTTCCATCTGGTCTCCCAGCATGTTTTCTAGCAGCATGGCTGCCCGAAAACCTGCATGTGCGTGTTGCCAGTTTCCAGTTTGTATTTTTCGACTCTCCTTCAGCATGCTAAATCTGTTCGAAAAGCGCTCAGCGGTTTTTTAAAATTGATCTAGAACAAAAGTATCCCGGCAAGAGACTGCAAAAAATGTTGCAAAGATTTGCAAAGAAAGAGATACCAGGGTAGGTTCTGCAAGTTCCCGTTGTGAAGATTTCAAAAAAATCACAAACAACGGGAAGAAGAAATACCAGGGCAGATTCTCCAAGTTCACTTTCTGAAGATCCGCATGAAAGATCATAAAGAAATATAAAGAACACGAGGAAAGGATGTGCGAGATCGCAAAGACCATGAGAAAGAGATACCAGGGTGGATTCTGCAAGTTCCCTGCGCGAAGATCCCTATAACAGATCGCAAAGAACAGTAGGAAGAGATACGAATACCAGGATAAATTCAGCAAGTTCCCTTTGTGAAGATCTCTGTCAAAGATCGTGTACAAGACCCTTCAGCTAGGTGGTGTTTCGTTGTGGCGAAGTCAGCTCCTGCCAGCTGCTCATATATCTCGACAACAATTTTTAATGCCTTTAGAAGGTGACGTTACAGAGTGGCCGGTGGCCCGCCGACACCGGTGAAACCTTCAGCTAGGTGGTGCTGCGCAGGCCCGATCCGAGCATGATCCGAGGACACCCTGGACAGCCTCGCAGTCTCGCACACGGCGCGCGACAGACCTTCCCCATCCATCTTCAGAGGCACGTTTTGTGCGGCAAACAAGAGCATGTCATGCTCCCGCTTTCTCTCAAAACGAATTTCGTGCAAGACTTCCCTCAAAAACTGAGTTGAAGTTGTGAAAACGAAGCTTTCGTGCGAGACGTCCCTCAAAAACTGAAAGTTGAAGTTGTGAAGACGAAGCTTTCTTGCGGGACTTCCCTCAAAAAGTGAAAGTTGAAGATGTGAAAACGAAGCTCTCGTGCGAGATGCCCCTCAAAAAGTGAAAGTTGAAGATGTAAAAACGAAGCTCTTGTGCGAGACGTCCCTCAAAAACTGATAGTTGAAGATGTGAAAACGAAGCTTTCGTTCGAGACTTCACCCTCCTCTCACCTCACTCTGAGATCATCTCAGCCTCATCTTAACTGAGCCTCATCTTCACTCATTCTGAGATCATCTCAACCTGATACTGCCGTGCATCCATTGCTGTGCCATCCACTGCTGTGACATCCACTGCTGTGACATCCACTGCTGTGACAGCCACTGCCGTGACATTAATTTCTGTCACATCCACTGCTGTGGCATCCAAAGATCCGTTACACGGAAGTATAGACTTCTAAACTTCCTTTGGCAATGTCAGCCACCAGCGTGCGGACGCAGAGCACAACATGATCAACGCTACAACATAACCCTTATCCTTGTGGCATCGCCGGTATGCGAAGCTCTACAATTATCACCATGCACCAAATCAGAAATGACGACAGTTTCACAAAACGAGATTTTCGAAGCCTTCCAAAACATCGTCCCAAGTTCACCAAACACTGTGCTTGCCACAAAAAATGACCTCTCATTTCGACCCACGCCTGCCAACGCCTTAGCAAGGTGCACAAAGTACTGCGCCTGCCACGCGGATACAAAAGTGCCTAATGCTCTGCACCTGCCACACAAAATGAGGTTCTGGCCGCACACAGGCGAGACGGCACCTCCGCAAGAGAGGTCTCCGCGCCACCGTGTCGTGCCAAACTTCCTTCAAAAACTGAAGATCGCGGAACTTTTGTGCTGTAAGGTCACCAAAAAAGGCGAACACGGATGCGACCACCATGGATCAACACCAGGTCTTAACACTTACTGCAAGAACCCCAGTTGTGAGCACACTATTTGGGGAATAACAATTTCGCTTCAGTATATGGGGCCTACTGAGTCTAGAGCATTCCGGGGATTTCCAGGCTATTTTCTGCCAGTGGTAGAGGATATTGATGAAAGTTAATCGGAGCAGTGCAGCTTATTCAGTTTTGATTGAAATTGGTGCATTTCCACAATATGCATGTCTGCCAAAAGGAAACTGTATGGAATGAGGCAGGAGGGCGGATAGTGAGTTTTGGCCAATTGCAAAGCAGGCGCGGCAAAAACGATAAACGTCACGTAAATTACGTAGAAGATCGCAAACCTGTGGTCCACATATTCGAGTATTGGACCTGGGCGCAGGCTCTGGAATCAGCAGAAAACATAGGTCTGACTGTGCTTGCAAAGCGCCAAAGACTGCCCTACCTGTCTCCGTCTGCATTTCCCATGTTGATCATGTATGATCATGGTGTATCTCCAATCGTTTTCAGATTTCAGATCTATTTCAAGTACCAGAACCGGTCAGAATCTGCAGAGTTGATTCCTTGACCATGGCTGAGATCCTCACGCGCCCGCGTCGGCCAGTTGCCGGCCAGAGTAATTTCATACCTGTCGATGTCGTAGCCACCATCGAAGCTACCATGTGGCTGGCCATGCGGCTTTCCCAGGAACCCTTGAGGCCCTTGAGAATCTTGAGAGAATGGTTGAAAGAATGGTTCCATGATGTTCCATGATGTTCCATGATGTTTCCTCTGAGGTGTTGCAATTCGTTGGTTGTGCTCAGCCAAGCTGCATGGTATACATTGCCCTGTACGCCGTACCTTGGGCATAGAACTCCAAGGCCGACAGGAAAAGACTTGAAGAGTGATGTACCACTCAGTTGAACCAGGTACCACTCACTTACGAAATCTGTGATGATATGTTCAAAATATTTCTATTACATCATGTTACTGTGTTCAAGTCCCTCTCTTCATTGATACGGTGTGGTTCGGAGCGACAACCGCGTCAATCTGAAGATTCTGAAGAGAATATGCCACCGAAAGTGATGATGTAATAAATGGAAACAAACCAGAAAGACTTTGTGGCTGATGATGGCAGAAGTATTGCAAGTCAAAGAAATATCCAAAGATCAACAAAAATCAGCACCAAGGGTCCATAGTATGTCCACACCCAAACTCGCGCTTCCATCGGCTCCTCAGAGTCCGTGATGTACTCCTGCAGCCTGGTGACAAGCGCAAGTTGCGGAAACACATGCGAATCAAATATGATAAAATTGTACGCCCGCACGAACACATACGCGCAAACACACAGCGTTGAACATCATTTAAATTTAGATCATGACCATCGAGGATCGGAATGCGTCGGCATGCTCAGGCATATACTGTAAAGCGCATAGAAGGCATTTGTGTGTCACATATCTAGCATTATCATGCATTATCTAGCCAACAGGTGACGACACACCACGAAAATACCTTCAGGCTGAGCATCGCCTTTTGTCATCGGGAATGAGACTATTTGTTCATGACTTCTGTGCCCTTGCCTGTGCACCGTATTCGCCAACAACACAAGTACTACCCAATACTTGTCTAAACTTAAACTTACACTATCTGTTCAAGGTACCACCCTGCTCAATGTACAGTATTGCACAGGAAAACCAATTCAAAGAACCATGATCCCACACTACCAGACAGCACCAATTCATACCACCATGTGGCACCCAGCACATTAGCACATCCGTGCACATCAGCAACTCAAAGCATACCACATGTGGGCCGAGGAGCAAGTTACCCATCACCAAGCTGCCCATCATCATGCCTCGGTAACATATGTACCATGCATAAGACTGTAGACGATGATTTCCTCTGGGAGAACGGGAGCTATTTGTCATTATATATTTGTCACCAGCATCAGCTTGGATTTGGGGAAGAATTCGCCTGTCACCATCTGTCACAGCCACCAGTTGAGGATGCATGTCATAACTTGCCCAGACAGGTCCAGACTATGGCTCAATATTGGCATAGCCGGGGAAGGCACCCGGCAAAATAACGCGCAGGTATGCGCAGGTTATTCACTAGGCCATGCCTGAGCCACCTCCAAGCCAAAGGATGCCAAAAGGCATCAAAAGACTGCAACGACTTCAAAGAGTAACTAATAATAGTCGTCGACAAAATCTACTGATAACTGATAACATCTGATAACTCTGCGTATACCTGTCTCCCTCCCTCGCTCCCGCCCTCGCTCTCTCTCTCTCTCTCTCCCCCTCTCTCCATCCCCATATGTCAAGACGTTCATGAGCAGCGGCGAGACTGAGAAACGAAATAAGATCTCTCTATAGATTTTTCTTTTCAGTGACCTTCAGTGACACCTTTAGGTACACAGTTCTACATGAGCGAGCGAGATCGAGCGAGATCGAGCGAGATTAAGCGAGCATAGGGAGTCAGGGAGTCATGATTCTGCTGAGCAGCAAATTCCAAGGAGAGCCATAGACCATGCCAAAGAAGGAAGAAATGACGAGCAGGCTTGAACCAAGAGCCGCAAGCCTGTCCACAAACGGCAGAAAATGCAGTGAAAAGCCTCGTAAGATTTCCGAACTTCAATCAAGTCTGAAGCCTTGGTCTAGACTAGCTGTCGTACCTGTCCAAACTACTGAAGAACTTGGCTGCAATTTCCTTCTTGAACAAAAGTCCCCCCCAAAAAAATATGCAGAATTACGAATTATGCATTCATTTTTTTTCTGCATGTTCTTCTAGTTTAAAGGACGAGGATGCCTCCTGGAATCTCATTCAATGAGTCTGCCATGATTGAAATGCTCAATATCTTTACCAGCCTCGGAAAAGCCTCAGAGTTCTCATCAACCGCACAGCTCGGGCCTTACACAAACAGTTAGCCGCCATGGTGCATACCAGCATTCCAGCTTAGAGTTGTCAAACGGAAACACCAGAAAAATTAGCCTTAGTACATCTTAGTACTGTCCATGGATAGGCTGCGCGTAAGTCTAAGTTGACCTATGATCGGTCTGCCCATGTGGACCACGCTGTGCACATTTGGGTCCTTTCATAATCTTCCGTAACCAAGTTGTGACCAATTCGACTGCAGGATGTTGCCCTTAGGCTTTATGCAGCGCGCGGACTTTTCTGTAGGCAGACAAGAGACCAACTTGCCAAGTCGGAGCAGCCGCAAAATATCGACATTGGCAGACCAGTCCGCCAAAGGGGCCAGCACGTAGAGGTCAATCATCGGAAGGATCACAAGAAAAGTGTCCTGAAAATCAAATGTAGAACCTGAACCTCACAAAGGATCACGAAGCATCACCAAGCTAATTCTGCAAGGGTGCTCCCAAGTTGAAGAGGTTCCGGAAGTATTTGCACCTGCCGGGAATACTGACACTCGACGACTCAATATTCAAGACTTTATGGGCTGTTTCTAGAAGGCCATGAAGGTGGGCTGTGGATGGCTGTGGATATGTTTTTGAGGCTCCGTGATGCTCGGTGGTTCCTTGTGGTTCCTACCGGCCTGGTGGCCCAAGCACGCAGTGCCAACTCAGTGGCGAAAATCCAAGTGAAGACATGCTCGAGGATCTTAGTTTGCGCAGGCAACCTTCATTCTGCTTCCTTTGTGCCTGCACCTGGGGGAATCATTAGCTTCATGATTTCAAGAAAGTAGAGTAGAGAATCAAATCTGTTGGATACATTCAATCTCCGCGTCTTCGAAAACAAGGGCTCTCCGAAGTCTTTTTATCAAACATGATGAATCTGCTGTCGCGCAACCGGGAAGACGCTACTGTGGGCGCAGTCCCATGTCACATGCACATCAACGGCTGCCTTAGCCAGCACTACACTCACAACATCTCAGAACTGTACATGGCTGGGAATGTGCTGGGATCAAGTGAAATGTTCTTTCTGGTCCTTCAATTCCTCCCTCCCCCCTTGAATGACTTTGCAGCTTTCATGATGATTGAAGCAGTTGCTCTCACTCCACAACCTGTTGCCCAAACGGTGTCCTAGACAATGTATATCTATATGTCTATGTGGCAGCCCGCCCCCTTGCCCTTCACTCTGCTGTTACAAAAACATCAAACACCAACCGCGAGGGAGATCTCTGATATCTCTGGTCATCTGTCTGATCTAAGAGCTCTGGCGCCCAAATTCCATGGCCATTTCGGCCTTTTCAAATCTTTTCAACCTAGCAACTGCGGATTCGTTGCCAATACATTCCAATTCCATTGCCATCGTCAAAGAATTCCTGAAGCTCTGGAGACTCTCGAGGTTTCAAATTCTTTGCCTGAAATGTCAGGAAGAATAGGAAGAAGTATATAATCAGTATATAATTATATAGATATATATAGATACAAAAATGATCAAAGATGCTTTGCCATGTTAGGCTCGAGGTCCTCTTTTGCTTTTAGCGAAAGTCCCATTTGGTTGCTTGCAGCAATTGGAGCCATATTCCGCATACGATATAGCTGGGTATATTATATGCATGTATATATACATGTTAAATACACGCGCATATGTGCAAAATCTGTATTTACACTATTAAATACTAGATTATACTAGTATTTGCAGTGCTCAGCTGCCTGCCACCTTGCATTACAAGTTGGGTGGAACATTGAAGAAGGCAGCAAAATCGTGGGTTCAGGAGTACCATGGCTTAACTAGTTGAACAATAAGAGCTCAACCAAATACTTCCCGTTGGACCTTGACTGTACCTTTGAAATCAACAGGTAGCCAGGTGCCGGGAGTCAGAAGGACCATAAAGCCCATAATGCAGTCCAACCAAGAGTGTTCTGCCTCAGCGAGGGTGCCAAGCAGTGCCAAGCTCAGTCAAAACTGGGTCTGGTAGAAATGTCCACCCTGATAGAGTAGACTTCCCACGATGCATCTCAACATCGGATCGGATGCAAAACACCAATGTGGAGTAGTTGGATCGCGTTGCCTCACAGATTGAGTTTGGCTCCTATTGCTCATGCTTCTTCAAACTGCTAGGCTGCTAAAAGCATCGCTCCACCTTGGACCTTTGGCCAGCACAGTTGCACCTATCTTCCTAGCAGAGTTGCCTCATGTTGTCTCCTTGATTCTTTTTTTGTGCTGCCTTCTTGCTGCTTTGGCTCAAATGTACCCACGATGGTCTCGAGCCTCCCGTTGAGTTCAACCGTAGTCTCTTCCGGCGGCGAGATCTGCCTCGTGTTGAACAATTTATCTACCTAACTACCTAACCCTTTCGGAGGATTTGTGAGACAAGGAGACTAATTATATATTCTGAGACAGGTTTTCCGACTTTGCTGACCACGTGCATGTGAGGGAACTATATGGATATGGATCTATATGGATCTATATGGCGTGATCGGCACAAACAAAGGCGTGCAAGACAACATAAGACAACCACTCAGGGTTGTGGAATGTTGTGGATTGTGAATTCTGAACTCAGCAGCTTCTGAATGATCCAGGAGCTTGGGGAGTGCTCAAGGAACTAGTTCAACACGTTCAACAGCACAGGGCCAAGATTTGGCGAAAGAACCCACCAAACTGCGATGGAGGTGGAAGCAGCAAACAGTTTGGATTTGATTGCGGATTATGGAAATGTGTGGCGTGCTCATCTGGCATTTTATGTCCTGCCTCGCCGACTTCCTGCCAGCAGCCAGCACTTTCGCAAGGTTCGTCGTGTTGTTCGAGGTTCTGTCACCAACTTGCCTGGAAACAGACTGTCACGGCGCAAGGTTCCAAATAATAGACATGCATAGACAGCTAGTCTTGCGTCATAGAGATTCATAGATTCATAGGTTAAATCAAAATCGATTTTTTTGGATTTAAAATCCTGTCATGCAGCGTCTCGGCGCAGCATGCTGCAACATGGCGCAGCATGACAACAAACTTGCAACGTGCATGGCAGGTTGCTCTCCATTTGGTCCATTCTCTATCAAGCCCGAAGACATTGGAGAAATTTGAAAAGGAGTCGCGGCCTGTCAAGACTGCTCTGTCAGTTGCCCTGTGAAACTTTCACTCTGCACTCTGGCACTGCCTTTAAAGCATCTTGTTGCTACATGAATGCGTGCTCCCAAAGGAGAAGAAGCAATGCTACACTCATTACCCATCTGCCACTCGCGGCCATATTTCATGGCATCCCTGGAGAAAAACTTTTGACATTAATTTCATTGGCCCCAAGATTCAGAAAATGCATGTGTTTCGCCAGTCTGGCCCGAAGTCAGAGCTCACAGGAGGCTTAGCCGGGGTAAAGCACTTTAGGATAGATGATATATATATATATATATATATTATTATTATTATATATTATAGATATGATAGACTCTATCCGACTCTAATCCCTTCACAGCTTCCCGGCGTGTACAAGTACAAGCACTGAGCATGACTGGTAAATACTATGGTGGTTCATAGTCTTCGAGATGCTGAATGCATTGATTCAACATCATTATAGTTGGTTGCAGAATTCTGTCCCAAATACATGTTCCTCAGCTTCCTGATAGACATGAAGTAAAAAAGAAGGAAAATCCAAACAAACAGCCAGGTTGTGACTCGCACATGACTCTCATGCCATGCCATTTTGAGTGAGTCCCGGGGGAGAAAGGTCCAAAACGCGTTTCTAAGGAAAAAGGTTCTGGGATGTTCTGGGATGTTCCTTACCTGCCATTCTTGTCTATGACTGCTCAAGATGGACGGCTGGGCAGAAAGAGAAGAGCAGGAAAAATGCGCACGAAAAGATGGAAAAAGCATGCAAACCCTTGTGCCCTGTGCACTGACGATACAGAGGCATTCAAAGCCCATATGCTCTGAGATCAATGATGATTGGTCTCGATATTCGCTGCACTTGAAGCACCCTGTAGTTCCCGAGGATGTGACATTCACAATTTCCGCAACTATTCTGTAATTACATGCGCAGCAAGGCATGTCACAAATACTTCCACCGAGAAGGGGAATGCGAAAGGTAGAGGTCCAAGAAGGGGAGTGGGAGGAAAGAGGTTGGGGGCACAAGAACCAGGGACTAAAGATGATGATGTTCGAATCTCAAAGGAATTATCTGCATTCTTGTTGAAAATTGAAATAGTTGGGTTTGTACTGGCACTTAAGAGTCTTTAAAAAAATACATCATCTCACTTTAAACATCGGCAATCGGCATGTTTGAAACCGCCAGTTTGGTCTGGATCCATATCCACTCGGGTTCGCCCGAGTAGCAGGCCAATAAGTTCATAGAAAACACTGGTTGTTACTGAAATTTGAGGTGTAGCGCATTGCAGTCAGCAAGTAGTCCAGAACCTATAATATATACTAGTATATAACAAGGGATATTCCAGCAATCTAATTGAGGTAATGTGGGTAAAACATGGTAAAACATATGTAAAACAATAATATAATGAATAATAAACCACCATAAACCACTCATATTTTGATGGTTTAGAGCACCAATTTGTGGTGATTTGGGCGATGATCCAGTCACGATGCCTGGGACCCCCAAAATCCACCACCAGATGTGCAACAGCGAGGCATCTCATATCATCTTATTCACCAAATACAAAACACAATCTCAAGTTGTTTTTTGTTGCTTTTTGGGGAGTAGGGGCGCAGTTGAATCCATTCAAAATCAGAAACAGGAGCTATCTCCATTCACAGAAAGTCTTCTGTGAACATATGTCTCAATCACCACTTACCTGACTCCAAGTTTGTTTGGCCTTTATGGTTGCATATTGATTGAAGGGGGGGTACTTCGTTTTCCTGCCAAAGCCAGATGGTTTTCCCAGACACCACTGGCAAGTCGACCAGAAAAAAGAAAGGGTGCTCAGTGCTCCCAACAAAAGCAATACCAACCAATAAAACCAATCAGCAGGGATTGGCCAGAGAAAAATGCGAAGCAGGAAAAAACGCAATGGTTGCGCAACGAAAAACGTAAACATTCGAAACGTCCGTTTGGGGTGTAAGAATTGGAAGGGAGGATGGTGACTAAGCCCACACAAAGTGAGGTAGCAATCTCCCATATTAGGGGCCCTAGATCTAAGGAAAGACTGTCAACCCTGTGAAGCGGTGAGCCTACACTTTTCTATGCGACGAGCTATGCTTCGAAGTCTTGAGCCACAGAGTGGCGCAGAAGAACAAATGAATATAGTGGTAACAAGATGTATACACTATACACATGGGTAGACTTAAGGGACAAATTGAACGGGCGGGGGCAAACTGATAGGCAATTTCGTGAATATTCAAAGCTAGAAGGTCCGACCCCCCCATTCCCCCCCCTTAAGTCGCAAAGTAGAACTCAAGGTAGCCCCACAGGAGCGGCTATTTTGCATGACTTTTGCATCATCTTGCAGATCCAGGCCTCTGAGCTTGTAAAGAGATTGCTGCCGCTGTCTCTGAGGCTGTCTCTACTGGCCATTGATTTCATCTTTTCAAAGCTATCATGCATGAAGGGGAAAGGATCTGGATTCACCTCGATGTCCTCAAGAACCTTAGGTCGAAATGGGTTTGGTGGACCAAATTAACCCCTAAGAGAGCTACAACTGCAAAAGACCAGAGAAGCAAGATTGTAGTTGCTTTGAGCGAGAATGCCCGCTTTGGGAAAAAACTTTCCAATATCTAGCAGCTTCTGCAAGATTCTGAAGGCAATGCAATCTGCATGCGGCTCTAGAATGGCCTGTTAAGGCCTGTTTGTTGCCAATGTTGAACAATTGATAATCTATATATATAGAGAGAGAGAGAGTCATATTATACTTATACTATAGTATTATTACAATGTATTATAGATAGTGAAGAGTCTGTCACACTAAGTGATAAAAGATTCAGAATATCAACATCAACAGTTATCAACGCCCCGATTTGATCACCGAGGAGCTGTAGGTAGGGCAAATACAGTCTCCTCCCCTGCACTGTGATCGGTCTTGCCCTCATTGCCGCGAGGTCCCCAGTCCTCACGGTGCGATGCATAGAGGCGATGCATAGAGAATGGCACCAAATCAAGGATTCAAAAATTTCAAAATTCGAAATAATTCGAAATTCGAAACATTCAGTTTGTGGAAGTTGGGGCACGGAAACAAAAACGGACAATTGGAAATATATTTGATATCATCGAAGACTGATAAAACGTTGGCGTGACTAGAAGCAGAGGTTACTCTGCCCACTGGATCCTCTGACACTTACTTGGGTCCTGGGTGAAGTCAGTCTCAGGCTTTGTAGGGCTCGGGACAACTGGGCCAAGAGCCGTCCCCTGACTGCGCTTAGCTGGAACATGCTGGAACCATCAGCAGGTGGGGGATGCTTTCCTCTGGCCTAGCATGGCCTAGCCCTACACAAAGGGACTAGGGCTCGTTGAGCTCATTCTGTCTTTGCGTTGCGCCCTATACAGATCACAGGCATTCGAAACTCTGTGATTTCGCCCATCCAGCCTGAGGACCCCTTGTCCCTCGCAAGTCAGTGCTCAACGACTCACTTGACATACTTGACCCCTTTCTCTTGGTCAGGTTGGACTGATGTTTCCTCAAGCGGGTGGAAGTCAAGGATTTCAAGAAAAAAAAATCCTGTAGAAGCTGATGGTCAAGTACATTGACTCTCGTCATACTCAAGTCATGGCTGCCCACGTGTTCAACCAAAACAAATTTTAGTCAAAGGCTCAAAGGTCTTTCTGGAACATCCACAACCTGCATGTTTTCGATCGTTTTTGGGGTTCTTTCCTATACTGGCTCCAAATATGCGACACCTTCCCTCATGACGATCCTTCCGGATGTGGACGTCAACTGCCCACACTAACGCTGCCCGGGCTCCGCATGGCGGCACGGACATCCTTCTCGAAGCTGCTGGCCAGGTTGCTCCTTAGGATCTAGTATTGTGACACAAAGCAAGCTCAAAGTAGGTGAGAAATCCCACAAATGAAACATCATCATGATCATGAATCATGGAACAGCACCCATCTTTCGGAAGAGGTTAAACACGGTTAAACGCGACCGTCTGGTTACGCCCAGGTGCCCAAACACAACCTGCAACCGCCCTTTGCTTGCATACAACAACACCCCGTGTAATCGTTCAAGATTGTCTGTGTGGCGCAAGCAAGCTCGGATGCTGGAAACCCTGTCTGGTAGGGTTTAGGTGGTTTAAGGAAGCAGGACGTTGAACATGTTAAACCATGTTAAACCTATTTCAACCGGCCGACCCCCCAAGCCCACATGTCACAAAGAGCATGCAAGAAGGACCAAATGACAGCCACAAACCGAATCAGCTATTCAATGAATTCAAACCTGGCATCAATTCCAGAGACAACGAAGTCATGACGTTGGTCAACTGACCATCCAGAAAGCTTTGCATCTCCTTCAACGTGTAGAACGGCCCTTGCGTCCCCTGACTGCTTGGGCTGCCTGGGCTCTCAGAATGGCCTTGTGACGCCATCGAGGCCATGGAAGGGAGTTCGCCCGAAGTTCGCTGCAAATTTCGCCTGTTTGCTACATTTTGCTACCCTCTGCAAATCTGAAAACACTTGTTTTGTCTCAAAAAGAAACTGGAAAATACTGAGTTACTGGACGTTTCTTATATTTTGTAGACCTTGTAATTTCTGCAAGAGCACGATGCTGAGAGCGGCCACGGCCAGGATGCAGTTCACGCAAACTTGCAGCACTGTACGTTTCAAGAAAGTGATGGGTACCGTATTAAAGAGCCAGATGAGACACAAACGCAAACCACGGACGCAACCAATTGGTTTTTAATGTTTTTCTCTTGTGTAAACAAGGTTTGGGAAGCTCCACTTTGCGGAGTCACCTGTCTCTCAACAGCCCATAACCACTGGTGGTGGTTGAGGTAAAAACTGCGAGCATCTGGACTGAAACCCATTTGTTTGCCGATGCTACACTTTGTAACACCTCTTCCCGTTACCACACAAAGATGCAGAAAAAATGGGCCTTGACGCTAATTGGTTTCCTAAGGCTACTGCAGAACCTCGCTGTTGAAACTTGTGACGAACTGGAATACAACTAAATGTAGTTGGATACTGTTGGTACTGGTATGTGTTCTGCAGGCAAATACACTCTTCCTCGCCAAGGTAATATGTTGCAGCTAGACTTTTTCATCGGCAAAAAACGCAAAACATCGCAAAACGTGCCAAAACAAGAAAAGTTCATTTGCAATGCTCTCCTTCTATATATAAATAAATATACCTATATATACACACACATTATACATATGTGTCTATATATATATAGATATAGTCATCTATATATATATATATGTGCGTTTTCTTTATAAATTATTATTGTAATTTATCTGTTTTTATGTTTCTATATTTTAAAATTGATTTGAGTAACAACTGATTCCAGGCAAGGGATGTGATGATTCCACTACGAAATCTACCATGCCTGGCAATTTCTATCGGAAAACGCTTTTTTTTGGACCTCATTACATTTCTTTTGGGCCTGGACACTTTTACTGGACCTTACTACAATTGTTTTGGAGATGGCTACCCTTCTTTTGGACCTACACACCCTGCTGCGGGACCTCATCCTTCCCTCCTGCTCGACCTGGCCCTTTCCCAAACCATACCCTTTTCGGATAGATTCTACAGTTTCTGTCCAGCCGCGTCTGCATCGCAATTTTTCAGACAGTAGGGCGCTAGAGCTGCGCTAGCATGCGACTGGGCAGGAAGTGCCATGTAGTGTTGTCCTCACAGCTTGAACCGACTTGGACACTCATCCTGGTGAGTTCGTTGCTGCTTGCGAGGGGTATGGCCAGCCTGGGAGCCTTGAACTCCAACCTGTGTGGCAGGAATGGCAGTTACCCTGGCTGCCGTGCCTGGACGGTAGGGGGCTAGAGCCGCGCTAGCAGCGTCTGCTTCGCAATCCCCAGGATGGGTCATTGGTGAGTTCGTTGCTGCTTGCGAGTCTGGGAGCCTTGACCGCGCTAGCAGCTAGCATGCAACATGGCAGGAAGCCTTTCCTGTACACGGTCTGCTCCCAAACCATATACCCCCTTTGGATAGATTCTCCAGTTTCTGTCCAGCCGCGTCTTGATCGCAATTCTTCAGACACAGTTCTTGCATTCATCTTCTTGCATTCCAGCCGCGTCTACATGTCCATACGTCCTGTGACCGGATACTAACCAACGATGTTACATTGATTTCGATGCCGACTCATGTGGCACCCTCAGCTGCGACCATTGCGCCCAGGAGCATCCCTTGCCGGTACGTTTACACATCCATGACGGTCTTCGTTGCCTGCAGCCGATGTGGGTTCAATGTCTACGCTTCACCCGTCAACTCTCAGCAACTTATTGCGCTCATCTTGTTCTAATATCTAACTTTCTCTTCCCCCGATGTGCCTTTCAACTTCCTGCATCCATTTGGTTTCATATGTAGGTTTCCCCCCGCTGGCCTCTCCACAACTTCGTGCCTTTATGCCGTTTCAATACGCAAATTTCTCCTGCGCCCCTGTGCCTCTCAGCAACTTCCTGCATGCATTTGGTTTCAATATCTCGGCTTCCCCTGTCTCTCAACAACTTCTTGCGCTCATCTGGTTTCAATATCTAATTTCCCCCCTGTGCCTCTCATCAAACTTCTTTAACTTCCTGCATTCATTGGGCTTCAATATTGATACTCTCCAGGGAGTGCAGCGCCCATCTCCTTGTGACACATTGGGTTTCCCACCTCCTTCCCATTCTGCCCTCTTCTTCTCAATTTCTACTCTTCACACCTCTGTGCCCCACTTGGGAGCATTCACCTGGCTTCAATATCTAAACTCCCCCCCCTTGTGCCTCTCACCAATTTCCTGCATTCATTCGCTTTGTCAAGACTTCACCTCTGGCCTCTTAACAACTTTTTGCATGCATCTCAACTTGGTTTCAATTTTCAAGCTTCCCCCCTTGTCTCTCAACAACTTCTTGCGCTCATCTGGTTTCAATGTCTAACTTCCCCCCTGTGCCTCTCATCAAACTTCCTAAACTTCCTGGATTCATTGGGTTTCAATACCTATACTTCCCCCGCAGCCTCCCCATAACTTCTTGCGTTCATTTTGTTTTAATATCTAAGCTTCCTCCCCGGTGCCCCACAACAACTTCTTGCATTCATCTTGCTTCAATATTCCCGGTGCCCCTGAGCAACTTCCTGCATTCATTTGGTTTTATATCTGGTTCCACCGTGGCCTCCTAAAGTCCCCCCCACCTGTGCCTCTCCACAGCTTCCCGCATTCATGCGGTTTCAATATCTCAGCTTCCCCTCGTCTCTCCACAGCTTCTTGCATGCACCGTCATTTTGGGTTCAATATCTAGACTTCCGCTTCTCGTCTCAGCAACTTCTTGCGTTCATCCTTGTTTCGATGTCTAAATTTCCCCTCTCCCACCTACCTCTCTCTCACCAATTTTATGCGGGCACCTGGCTTCAATATCTACATGTTCCCCCGTTTCTCTGAACACCTTCTTGCATGCATCTTGTCTCAATATCTAAATTCCCCCCACCCTCTTCTGGCATTCATTTTCGGGTCCCAAAAATTCCCAGCATTTTTTGCATGTATCTTAATGTATCTTCATTTCGTTTCAATGTCTAGGCTTCACCCCTCATCTCTCAACAACTTTTTGCGCTCATCCTGTTTCAATATCGAGCTTTCCCTTTCCCCTATGTGCCCGTCAATTTCCTGCGTCCATTTCGCTTCATACGTAGACTTCCCCCATTGGCCTCTCCACCACTTCTTACGTTTTTATTGTTTCAATACCGGAACTTCCCCGGCATCAACAACTTCTTGCATGCATCTTGTCTCAGTATCTACATTGCCCCCACCCTGTGCCAGGTCAAAAAAACGTGCACGGGATCCAACCCAATGTGAGCGCCTGTAACAATGGAGTTCCCCCCCCACCCTATGGAGGCAAGGTCCAGGAAGCAGGTGCACGGGTCCAAAAAACAGGAAACCGAGCTCAGAAACAATTAATTTGGCTGTCGAAAAAAAAATCCCTGGGTCCAGCACAAATACATGCAGGTCAAAAAAAATATCCCCACAGGGTCCAGAAAACACACAAGCAAGTCCCTACATTTTTTGTGACCCTAGGTCAAAAAAAAAATCTGGTTAGGTCCAAAAAACATGTACAGGTCCAAAAAAAAGGTGCCCAGGTCCAAAAAACATGCATCCCATTTCTATCCGTGAACCTAACGGATACTTAATTACGGATGCATGAAATCCAATAATTACGGATGCATGAAGTCCAAAAGAATGTTGGCGCGGCGCCGGAGCAGCCAATCACCATTGTAATATATGCCGGAAAAGGATTAAGGCAATCTGACGAATATCCTACGCGATCCTAAACGGATGTTTAATTACCAATGCATGAAATCCAACCGGATGCCGTGCAAGTATGAATTACCGATGCGCGGATGCAGGGGCGGCGCTGTCGCAGCCAACCTCCATTAGGCACGAAGACAAGACTCGAAGATAAGACAATGAGAGTCCAATGACATATCCACAAGAAATGACTCACCAAAATCCAATGGATGAAAAGTTCGCAGATGAGACTTGCTCGTATTCATGCTGTGCTTACAGCGACTTGCCACACCCGGGTGGTGACAAATGGCAAAAGGTTCACACCTGAGAACTAACGGCGAATGACATCTTAGCACATGATGCACTCAAGTCCAATGGAGGATGGCAAAGCACAAGCCCATTGAACTGACAAAATTGACAGATTTAACCTTACAGGCTTAGCCTAAATCGTTGAATGCTTAGCAGGGCCAACGAGTTTGCAGACAATGAAGTTCATGAATTGCCTCCATGATTGAAATCCTTAGGATTGACTTATAACGCTGAAATTGGCATGGCTGACGAGTGCGAGAGCGGAAGAACGAAAAGCACGCACTTGATGAAAGCTGCTTAGCAGATAAAGTTTAAAGACCATGCAACCACTGAGGCTTGACGAAATGTTGAAATGAGACGATGACAAGCGAGACAGGTAAAAAACCAAAAGCGGCAAGGAGGATCGGCAAAGCACGAAACTCCAATCCAACTAGGCTCGGATCAGCACAAACTTCAATGGGCCGACTGGCAATTGGAAGAAACAAGACACTGAAAAACCAGAAGCTGAACGCCTCCCACGAGAAAATCCAAAAGCAGCCAGGAGAATCGGCAAACCACAACGCTCCTATCCAACTAAGCTCGGCACAGCACAAACTTCATGGGATCTGCTGACAATTGGATGGATGAAACCCCTCTGATCCTCAGGAAGGTGAGTGAGCAGGCTCATGGAGATACTGGCATTTTTTTCCATGGACGCATCCGGTAGGCATCCTATGGAAGATGCACGCTGTTTTAGCCTTTTGCTCTGCTGTCATTGCTTTTCCCTTTCCCTTGGCTTTACCTTTTGGGGAGGTCTTCGATTCAGACGACGAAGCGATGGCAGCAGGCGCACTGGTGGGCTGCAATTTCTTTGGCAAGCTGGACTTCAACAAGTTTTCAATTGATTGCGCATTGATGTCCTCTCTTTCTTCAAGCAAGTGTTCCTGCAACCTATTCCAAAGATGATCAAAATCACGGAGTGGCGACTGAGCATCGCTTCTCTTGATCTCATCAAGGGTCCTTTCCAACTTGCGAACTTGCCTCAACTGATGAAACAACCACTCACCCATCATGCGCTGAGACGGCCAATCTTCCTGCGGTACACTATTCAAAGTGCGAAGGACACGACCTGAAAACTCTTGCAAATGCTTGGCACTGTAACCAGCAAGCCCTATTTGAAAGATCGATTGCGAAGTAAGCATCGAACCACGAGCCCGATCAATGTCAAAATGCCTGGAAACAATGTGCAACAAGTATCTGCCCCTGGGAAGGTTTCCAATCTGACTGCATCCTTCAATGTACTCCATTTTTTTGAACTGCAACTCAGGCACATTTTCACAACCTTTTGGAATTTCAGCTGCCAACCAACGATCAAACGCGGAACACAACCAGAATCATGCTTGATCACTTCATAGGAATTCACTTCATAAGCTTTGGAAAGCCAATGCGCTAAGTACTCCCTATCACTGATATCCAACTTTGCCATGATCAGCAACAACTGGTTTTTCCAAGCGCTGAAATCCGAAGCACTGGAAGGAACCGGACCTAATGTGGCATACCGAAGCGAACGAGCATCCACAATGTCCCTCTCAACTACATCCCTGTGACTGGTAAAGCTTTGGGGCATGCGATCTCGAACTAATTCTTCATCTTCATCGTCAAAACCATCTCCGCCATCATTTGATGGAAACCCTGGCCCCCCTGATCCCGCAAGTGCTGGAAAAGAACAAGTTCTTGGAGAAAGACCAGAAGGCGGAAACGGAAAAGACACTGCCACGCTATTATGGCTCTGAACTTGATCGACATGAATCGAAACGGAAAAGACACTGCCACGGTATTATGGCTCTGAACTTGATCGACATGAATCTCTTGAGCATCTTCAACCGCTGACATACGAGCCGAGAGATCTTGCAAAGCTTCCATCATGGATAGCAATTGCGCTGAAAAGGCCGGAGGATGTGGAGCATCAAACATGACTTGATCAACTGGTTGAGCGGCGCTTCGTGCAGCCAAACTCATCTCCATATCTTGACAGCGTTGACGAAGGGACAAGTTCTGAACTCGAGATTCATCCAAAAACAAACGCTGGGAGTCGACCGAATCCTCAGCTGGTGGATTTCATCCATCAGTCGTGAAATTTCGCCCTCTTTGTGGTCTAACATGCTGGCGGAGCATTCAACTCTTCTACCCAGTTCGTGATTCCGAGTAATTTGAAGCTCCAACTGAGCGCGAAAATTGGCATAATTGATGGATCTGATTTTGAAATCCTTGATTTGATAGCTGGAGGCTCTCAACAACACCAAGCAACTCCTGAATACGTGAACAAGCCTGGCTGTACACATCTTGGGCCAAGCCTTCCAACCCCTTGATTCTTTCATCAAATTCCTGAACCACCCTCTTGGCCTCGGAGACCGTGTTGGCAAAGTCCATGGGATCAGCACCAACATTCACTTGCTGAGTGCGGTGATCATGATACTGGACCGCCTGTGAATGATGCAGCCGGGCATCAGGCTGACCACTAGGCTCTTGGGGAATGAAAGTCGAAGGTTGGGAGGCCGATGCGGAACTATGCACAAGAGGAACTGGTGACGTGGCACGCTCATGATCTGATGGCTGTGGCAAGCGCTTGATAACTTGAGAAACTCTTCGAGGCTGATTCACGGTTGAAACTTGTCTTGTTCTTGACGACTGTCCTCCTGATTTTGGAGTCCCGGATGAACTTCGGCTTCGAGATGAATGAACTGTGACTGCACCTCCCTTAACATCGATGGACTCGGATGACAGGTTCAAGGATGAGGAGTTTGGATCTGACATGATTACTGTTCCAGTCTTGTACCAACTAAGATTCACAGGTCACGGCCGACGCAACGACATGTGTGCCAGGTTTGAGGCACCTGGAGGCCTATGAAATGAAATCCCCAAAAACGGTCAAACAAGAGCAAATACGGCTGATAGCCAATTGATTTGAGTAACAACACCCCAAACAGAGAAGTCAAACAAAGACGGTGACACCAAGGGGCAGCGGCGGCAACCTGTTTTCGCCATGCTTGAGCCAAACAAGTAAGTGGCAACATGTTGACCCGTAAGGAAGGATACTAAACAACTGAAAGAATGGGTATAGGAAACCTCCATTTCTTTCAAGTTTTATTTTTTTAAAAAATGTATATAATATATATATATATTTATTTATTTATGTATATATTTATCTATTTTGGTATGTTCATATATTTATATATTCACATATTGGTATATTTACATATTTATATAAGGATATATACATACAATATTTATGTTTATTTATTTTCATATTAATATATTTATACGTTGATATAAATATATATATATTGACATATTTGCATATTTACATATTTATATAATATATATATATATATAATATATCCATTTATATTTTTATATATTTGTTTATTTAAATATTCAAAATTTTATATAGTTATATTCATATATATATATATCTATTTATTTATTTTTATATATTTATATATTTCTATCTTTCTATATTTAAATATATAGTTTATATATGTGTTTGTATATTTTCAATCATTAAACATATATATATATATCTATCTATCTATCCATCTATCATTCTATCATGCGTGTGTGCATGTGAATATGTATGTCATGTGGTGTTGCTTGTGATTGCTCTCCATTGCGGAATCAGCCTCTGCCTGCCCAATTCTTGGAAGTTCGAAGTGCGTGGCATGAACCAACCGAATGGCAGTTGACATTTGTAGGTACGTTTCGCTTTACCAAGCTGAAGTGCGACTTGGAAAGGGTGAATGACTGATGGTTTATATTTGAAAATTATGTTGAACATACGAAGTATAATAAGTCCAGAGCCCAATGGTGAGCCCAATGACCCGAAAGCAGGACATAATCCAGAAGACAATTTCTTGCCCACACTCTGGCCCTCAGAAAAGAAATCTGCACAGGGCTCACTTCACATATAGGCTCGCTCGGCTTCGAGTTGGTGAGGATAACAACCTCGGTGCTTTCCGGGAGATGCCGGGAGAAGCCCATAGAGACTGTGCCCGCTCCCAAAGCAAAGGCGATGGACTATGATGGACTCCTGCGTTTAATTGCGCTGTTTTCGTGTTCTCTCGCAATTTGTAGACATGGAATATCAATGATTGAATACCATGGAATGCTACATGTGTGTCATCTCGAGTGGACGCTGCCAGTTTTTGAGCTAAAAGGATGTTGCCAGCCTGTGAACGTGAGAGCACAAACCCATCACAGCGCACACCCATTTGCTAGCAAGCAACGCCATATGGCCTTAGCAACTGACCAAACACCGGATATGCACGAGAATTTTTAAACATGCCGGGTTGTGGATGCGGTCTCGGTCTACTCTTAGGCCTCCTAGGCCTAATGATCTAAATGTCCATCTTTCTGGGTTTGCCTGTAAGAAGCTGAAAGGAATGCAGTGAGAACCCACATGCCAAAACATAGAAGCATTTCATATCTTCTCGGAACTTGTCTTGATTTCGCATCTCAATCATCTCAGCACTCCACTCCACTGAATTTGGACATGTTCGAATCATGTTTGCTGTCACGCTGCTAGCTAAGCCTGTGTGGTGTTTCTTGTTCCTCCGCCTTTTGCAGGTTTGGATGAGGTGGGCCTCCTCCATCTTGTCTTGCAATTTCCTCACCCGCAAGAGCAGCCCTACATACGCATCATGATGGCATCATGATTCATGATTATCCTGGTTGTGATTCTGACAGATTCTTACAGTAAGATGTCTGCATAGCAACCCTGACTTGAATCCACTCTTATATGCATAGATAGATGGATAGATAGATAGATAGGTAGATAGGTAGATAGGTAGATACATAGATAGAGATAGATAGAGATAGAGATAGAGATAGAGATAGAGATAGAGATAGAGATAGAGATGGAGATGGAGATGGAGATGGAAATAGAGATAGAGATACAGATACAGATACAGATAGATAGAGATAGATATAGATAGAAAGATAGAAAGATAGAAAGATAGAGATAGATAGATAGAGAGAGGTAGATAGATAGATAGATAGAGATAGAGATAGAGATAGAGATAGAGATAGAGATT